TTATACACCCTATATATATATATATATATATATATATATATATATATATATATATATATATATATATATATATATATATATATATCTTGTTATCAGTATATATAGTATATATCTCTGATATATCTCTGGTATTGATTACAATTCGACTGGGCTTTGTAATCATTTATTTAAACCAGAGTAGCGAGCGAAACATGAGTATATATCTCTCTCGGCTAAACTTCAAATGGCTGGTCCTTTGTTCCACCCCTGCTCCAGGCATGTCTATTTATCAGTGGATAATTATTATTAAGGGGCCTGTCATTATTTATGGTGGGGGGGTGGCACCGAAGAGAAAAGGGTTGGGTATACAACATTTTGAGTGAGTAAAAGGTTGGGTAAATGAAAAACGAAACAACTCAAGGGTTGGATAATAAAAATTTATTGTCATTTCCAAAGCATGACTCACTTAAAAATTGAAGTCTAAAAAGCAATGCTAATAGTCATATGTCAATACAATATGTAAATCAATCAGAGTCACTCGCTTGATCATTTTCCGATTTGTCAGGAGACATATGGTGTCTCCAAAGAAACTTCAGACTGGAGAGAATTGCACAAGCAGTTATCAAACTTGTGTCACAGAAGTGGTAAAGGACATGTGTGACAACTGAATGGTATCCTTTTATAAAGTTTTTGGACAGGGGTGGGTATTTATCTTCTAATTGTTGGGTAAAAAATGTTTTTGACTTTTTAATGGTTGGATTAGTAAAATGTTTACGAATAAAAATACATTTCTCTTCGGTCCCCCCCCCCCCGGGCCATAAATAATGACCTGTCCCTAATAGACATACATTTTTCTTTAGAATGCGTTCAAAACAAACTCCGGCTATCTTCAATTTGCTCTGGTGGTCTCAACTTGTGTTGCCTTTACACCTTCCTTATTTCGTCTCTACGATAGTAACGTGAGTAAGACGTTCCGAAAGAATTGCATTGGGCTATTACTTTTAAAAACCAAACCCCCCTGTCGACGACCTCTGCTTTTGGGTATTTTTACCCCTCTGGAATGCAAAAATATCTGTGTAATTGACCCCTCTGGAAGAGACTTGAACCCCCTCTGGAAGTGCATTTCTGCATTTTAACCCCTCTGGAAACAGCATTTTTCTCCTATTTTCCCCAAATACTCCTCTGGAAAAAAGGACTAATTTCCCCTCTTGGAAATTGAGGTCCTCGACAAGGGGGTTGGGTATTAAAAGTAATAGTCCATTTTCTGTTGCGTGTGGCATTGTGTTTCACTGTTCATTTCCACACTAGGTCGGCACTGAATGGACGTCTATAGATGGTTTATATAAAATATATCTCCGCTGTTTTGGCGCTGAATTTAAGTAAGTAACCACGATGTAATCACCAGGCGGGATTCATTGGTGAATTTCAATAAACATGACAGAACAGCAGATGGTGGTCAACATCAGAATTTGCCACTAAATACAAGACTACCGGGTGTCCCAAAGAAACTGGACACTGTTTCATTTCATGTAACGTAAAAGCTATAAAAGCTATCGCAATGAAATAAAGGTCATTGCATTGAAAAAGGACTAACTTAGATCTTGATATATAGCACTTGAATTTACATGCAATATTGACTGCGCTATTGATGTTTGAACGTTGAACTTCTGTTCTTGAAAATGTCAAAAATAAATATTTTTATTTTGATTGTATCTCGCTCAATATTGCATGTAAATTCAAGTGTTACATATCAAAATGTAAGTTAGTCCTTTCTGAAAGCAATGGTCTTTATTTCATTGCAATAGCTTTTATAGTTGTTACGTTACATTAAATCAAATAGTGTTCAGTTTTTTTTTTGGACACCCGGCACTACATAAGTGAAAAGAATGAACATTATTTATTTTTCACTCTGAATAACTGCAGATTGACCACCGTCTGCAGCACGATACTATAATGCTTAGTCTAACCCACCAATATTCATTCGTTTTGTTTTGTAGAAGTTCTTTGGTAATTTGGATCAGTCTGGTACAAAGTGGGACATCAAGTTTTTGTTTTTTCTTTCTACTTTCCGTTGCTGAAAGAACCTTACGTCAGGTAAGAGATAAGATGAAATAGTTCGCAAACATACCCGTTGAAAAAATAGATATGCTATCCATACACGAAGTAGCCTAAGAAGACCAGTCACTCTTCTCACATGTGACTGAGGTGAAATTATAATGAGACAACTGTATATTGCAGGAATCATATCTCAGTGACTGAGGCACATGCAGTGTTTGATAGAGTCAAACTGAAAATCCTCTCACATGTGACTGAGGTGAAATTATAATGAGACAACTGTATATTGCAGGAATCATATCTCAGTGACTAAGGCACATGTAGTGTTTGGTAGAGGTCAAACTGAAAATCTTGTCACATGTGACTGATGTGAAATTATAATGAGACAACTGTATATTGCAGGAATCATATCTCAGTGACTGAGGCACATGCAGTGTTTGGTAGAAGTCAAACTGAAAATCTTCTCACATGTGACTGAGGTGAAATTATAATGACACAACTGTATATTGCAGGAATCATATCTCAGTGACTAAGGCACATGTAGTGTTTGGTAGAGTCAAACTGAAAATCTTCTCACATGTGACTGAGTTGAAATTATAATGAGACAACTGTATATTGCAGGAATCATATCTCAGTGACTGAGGCACATACAGTGTTTGGTAGAGGTCAAACTGAAAATCTTCTCACATGTGACTGAGGTGAAATTATAATGAAACAACTGTATATTGCAGGAATCATATCTCAGTGACTGAGGCACATGCTGTGTTTTGTAGAGGTCAAACTGAAAATCTTCTCACATGTGACTGAGGTGAAATTATAATGAGACAACTGTATAATATTGCAGGAATCATATCTCAGTGACTGAGGCACATGCAGTGTTTTGTATAGAAGTCAAACTGAAAATCTTCTCACATGTGACTGAGTTGAAATTATAATGAGACAACTGTATATTGCAGGAATCATATCTCAGTGACTAAGGCACATGTAGTGTTTGGTAGAGTCAAACTGAAAATCTTCTCACATGTGACTGAGGTGAAATTATAATGAGACAACTGTATATTGCAGGAATCATATCTCAGTGACTGAGGCACATACAGTGTTTGGTAGAGGTCAAACTGAAAATCTTCTCACATGTGACTGAGGTGAAATTATAATGAAACAACTGTATATTGCAGGAATCATATCTCAGTGACTGAGGCACATGCTGTGTTTTGTAGAGGTCAAACTGAAAATCTTCTCACATGTGACTGAGGTGAAATTATAATGAGACAACTGTATAATATTGCAGGAATCATATCTCAGTGACTGAGGCACATGCAGTGTTTTGTATAGAAGTCAAACTGAAAATCTTCTCACATGTGACTGAGTTGAAATTATAATGAGACAACTGTATATTGCAGGAATCATATCTCAGTGACTAAGGCACATGTAGTGTTTGGTAGAGTCAAACTGAAAATCTTCTCACATGTGACTGAGGTGAAATTATAATGAGACAACTGTATATTGCAGGAATCATATCTCAGTGACT